GCTCTCCAACCCTAATGCCCATGAGGTAACTCCAGTACCCCTTACTAACAGGTCAGACAGACGGCAGCAATGTATATGGTGTTATTCTGACACCTTCACTTTTGTGATATTATAGTCACAGGACACAACTGAGATTGATATGTATGATAACATGCAGGCCCCGTAAGGGGGCCAGAGGGGGGTGTTGGAGACCAGAGATTCCTATTCCAAATGGGGTTACCCTACTTAGAGTAATTCCTTGGTATCAGATCCTGGTATTCCTAACAGTACTGCTGATCCAAATATTCTTCTTAGTTGTGGGGTTCCTGCAGGTGAGCTATCGACTGGTAATCTGCTTTTTAGTGTTACTGCACTTACTGCCCTTGAGGGCTCCACTGAAATGTGATCTAGGGTGTCGCTTAATTTCTTTAGATTCACATTTTGGTCATTGATGTTAATATCTTCTTCTCTTTCTAGGTTGAAGGAAGCCGTCTTGTATCGTTTGGTATAGCTCCAGGTAACGCTTTGTAATGTAATAATTACTATTCAGATAGTTAGTTCTTGGTGACGGAGAATGATACTTCTCTTCTTCTTTCATCTTCTCATCCCACGATAGCACTAGGCCTCTGCCTACATGACTGATAGTATAAGATCTTTGTCTTCTACCGGGAATGCTTATGGTAAGCTTTTTCTAACTCTTCTTTATGACGAGCTTTCTTGAAGTAATAATAATAAAGGTTGTAATACTGATAAAGAGTATAAAGGTGTTTTATATTTATTAAAGTAATAAATAGGAAAAGTACTTAGAACAAAGCCTGAAAAATGTATCCTCCTCGGCTGAACCAGCTTCCTTATATAGTGTTCTTCTTGCGCCAAGTCCTGTAACCCAAAGTGGTCACATGCGTGAAACCAAATCATAACAAACTAGTCATTTGACCAAAGTGGGCACATTCTCAAAACCCATGATCTCACAGCAAGGTCATGTACGAAAACTCATAAACCAATCATAACACAATAAACAACTCAAATGACCCCAAGTGGTCACATGTGCGAAACCCATGACCTCGTCATGAGATCATGTGTGAATCATAACTCTTATGTGCAAGACATACCCACAAGGGATACTTGTAAGGCATACTCCCCAGGTGCACGTCCCATGACTCATAATCAAGTTATGTGTAAAATGTAACAAATCGTAATATAACATATTATATGACCTAAATAAGTCATATGCACAAAACAACAACATACCTATGACCCATAATCATGGGTTATGTGAAAGCCTTTTCCATACCAAGCCACATTCATAACACTGCCTTACTATAAGTCCTAAACATCATGGGCTACAACTTGGAGAGTTGCTGTAAGTCTTGTAAAAATCTATAAGTAGAGAAACTCCTGTGATACCATATATGCTCACACCATGCAGTCGACCAGAAGCTGCTGGCAGGATATATAAGGGGAAAGAGGAGAACCTAGAGAATGGTCTCCAGGTAGACTTGTGCAAAATGGACCAGAACTGATGGAGTAATACTACTTTGAAGTTACAAGTAGTATGTAAGATTACTGTAGGCCGATAGGCAAGGAAATCAAAATCCGTTGCCCCAAAAGTGTAATAGTTTTGGAGAATTGTTTAAGACTCTAAGACACTAGTCTAAGGTCATGATAAGATCTAATTCTAGGAGGGTTGACTGTAGGTAGCACCTATTAGTTATCAACCTCTGCAGGGGTCTATTAGGAGAACTACGTGGCTATCTCCCAGAATGATATAAAATCAAGTAGAACTGAATAGATGTTCAGAGGCTGCGAATGCTTGTAGAGGACTAAGTGTATATGAGTAGAGAGTTTCATAGTTGGTATTGCATCCACTCAGGCATGTCAGCTTGCCACAGACATGTCTGTAATATGAAGAGTTTTTACACCTGCAGTTGCATAGTAGATGTAGTAGCTAAAACAATTCTGTCAAGTAGATATTAGTAAACTACAGAGTAGTCTAGTTCACTACAGAAGATCTTTAGTCCAAGCCATCGAGGTTGGCTAGACAGCCTAAGGGAGTTGAGTGCTCATGAGTCTAGAGTAGTAATGGGGAGCAACTGGCAGTATATGAAATTTACTTAAGCATATGCGAATTCTCCTCTGCTCTAGCAATCAACTACCTCTCGAAAACACGACTAAATTGAGTAAAGCTGTGGCTTAACGATATTAAGTTTTACCATTTTATTTCTTCAAACTCTACTATTGAGGTATTGAAATTTTATGATATTAGTTCTTAGAAGAATTCATTTCAGTACAGTCGTAACCTCAGGATCTATCTTCCCAGAGGAAGCCCCATTAGACTTACTAGCAAATAATATTACAGTAAGTGTAACCCCTGCAGGCTGTACTGGAATTACGCAACTTCTTGATATTTCTGTAAATTGTCCATTTCAGGTCATCTTAAAGGTGAAGAAAAGAAAAACCCTCAATTTAAGTTTTGACATACCTTTTATTAACCTTCTATAAACAGGAAATATTCAAAATATGATTAACAGAAATAGAGAATAAGGAGAAGAGAATACTTGCCTTAGGTAGGTCACTTCAGGACAGCATGGTTGGGCGATGAAGGGTGACAACAACCTGGACGGTGTGGGAGGCATAGAGGTTTTCATCAGAGAGAGTTGTGGTAGTTCTGAAGTCATTTTGTGTACTTGGTCTCTTACTCCTAATTGACGGGAGTGCGGACCACAAAATATCTGTTAAAGGGTTAGTAAATGAGTTTCTAATGATAGGATTAAGGAATTGGAGAGAGGGGATTGGGTTGGAGGAGGATGAGGATCAAGAATTAGAGGAGGATGATCATGAGATAAAATTTTCCTATAATTAAATTAGTGCCAAGAATTACCAAACCTGATATTACACAATTTGATTCGGAATGATCACCTTGACTCACCTTATTTTAACCCCCTAGCGCCAGGGTCAGTTATTTGAGATTCTACGGTATAACATGTATATATTTTTAATGGTATGCGCTGAACCGACCCCAAAAGTGTCCAACTTCAGATCGATCACTCGAGAGGATACCACGGTAGTCAACAGAAAAAAATTGAATTTCGTCCCACAGTCCAATTAGGAGACATCCTGACCGAGTGAAGCAAGGCGCCTAAAGCCCTTCATTCGTATCTTATGCCGAATTCCACGGAATTTACAGTAAGTTCGAAAGCGATGGGTAGAAAGGACTTTTTTAACTTTCAAGGGGCATGGCTGAGTTCTCCTGATAGTGGTGACCCGGCAACCGGGAAAAAAAAAAAACACAGGCAGGGCATCGAAATTGCACCAGAAAAAAACAAGCGTTCCAAGGTGGGGTCCGAAAGGAAAGAAAAATAATTTAAATATCGTAATGTACAGTATTTTTAAGGTACTTGGATCTTGCAAACGACTACCGGTACTGTAGCCAAACCTTCTCGAAAACAAAGAGCTATGATCTGAAGGGGCCTGATCAGTGACCATCCTTAGAGGGGTATCGTAGGTTAGTTCCACCATTCTGAGGATCTGGCACACTGCGAATAGGTTACCTGCACAGAAGATACGCACTAAATTAAGTCAATACAGTACCGCGGTATGCCTCACCAACAACGATGCATACATACGAGTAAACCTTCTAGTTATCAATATCCTCCCCACCACTGCCTGCCCACACTTTAGGGCAAAACGCCAAAATCCACTCTTTGTATTTTCCGTCACTGGAAATGGTTGGAAGGCGGATCCCAAACACTCAAGGTTTGGTCGGTTACTCGAGTAGCTGTGGATGTACGAGTAGTACGGCAGAGGACTAAATGTTGTCTTATGTCATGAATGTTTTCCTGCACCCCCATAGCTAGCTAGTTAGCTAGTTAGCTAGCCAGCATTGTTATCATTCAAATACCGGTATGCGACTGTATCATACATAGAATGGGCACCAGAACTACCTGCTTTCATTATTATTATACAACTGGACCTCGAGTCCCTCTCCTTCTCTCAACTCCTTGCAGATTGCGGCTGTATGATATGACAAGACATCGAGCCAGATTCGACTCCCCCACCGCTGAAAAGGATAGTAAGACTGTCCGTGAGAGATGAGCTGCGGGCTACTAGTACGAGTACTGTAGATTGGTGAGGTGCTTCATCTTAATTCTTCCTCTCCTTTTTTTTATTTCCTCTCTTCGAAAACCCCCACCCCCCATGACCAACTGAGAAAAGTCCATCCAGCATCCTTGCTGTGACTACGGTAGTCTACAAGAAACGAACGGCAAAGCCCAATAACCGTACCGTTTGCGCTATCATAGGTTAGACTATGATACCAGTAATTGTTTTCACCATTGAGGTCGCTGCGCCATCCAAACCACAATAGTACTGTACCCGTATGATTTAGCATCGTACTATACCCCGGACCAACTATAAAAATAAAAAAATTGCCGGTAGGGGTTTTCCACACAAGTACCCATACAAGTACCAATTTCTACCACGTAATCCTACGCCGGCCGTTGCGAGCCTTTGCTCACCGGACCACGACCTCATTGCACTAGCACAGCAGGACACTGCCCGGGCGGCCCTCAATTGCCGGCGCCCCTCACAAACATTGCACACACAGCACTAACGGAGAAAGCGCGCTTCGAGTATGTATGATATAATACTAGTACAAACAAGTGAGTACGATATCGCGTCTAGGGCAATGGGTGGTCTAGAGGGATAACAATAGCGGGTTAGCTCGAGTTCCGAGCCGGCTTCGCTGTGAACTGGAGTCGCCAACATGGGTACGTATATCCCGAGGCAGGGCAGGACGAAAATGTTACAATTATGATATGATATTACGGTAGAGGATTCTAAGGAGGTAACGCCAATGGATAATTACTATAATGGCATGCGCAGTACTGCACAGTACAAGTACTCGAGTACTCTAGAAGTATGATACATACTCAGTAGTACCGGTATTAAGAATAGATTGTCGAAAGGGGGAGGGTAAATACTAAATCATGAAGTATGATACTTGATAGAGGAATAAAAAATAAAATAAAAAACTTTTTCATCAACAATCGACTCTACATCATACACGGGTTTTTCAGAAATTCCACGACGATATCACTAACATCCCATTTCTATTCGATCCGCAGCAAAAGGTATTGGGGCAGTAAAAAAGTAGCGCAGTAGATGGAGGGAAATAAAAAAAATTACAGTAATATAATCAACTATCGAGACAAATAACGAACGCCAATGTACTAGCCCTCCCCTCCTCGAAGTGAAAGGTGTATATTATATTCTACATATAGGCTGGGAAATTAACTTGGGATCTTGAACATGGACTTAGTGTCCTTGGCATTAGCAATGAGCTCCTCGCTCAATGTCTTATCAAAGGTGGTATCCTTGGGAAGCTTAGTGATGTAGACGTTCTCGCCGTAAAAGATAGCAGCAAGCTTTATTGGCTCGTTGAGAGGGCGTTCAAAGAAGTCGACGTTGCCACCACCACCGAATTTTCCACCCTGCGCGCAGTGGAGATGGGATTTCATCATATCGGCGGCGGACTGTCCAGCGGCGGGATTACCAGGAAGAGCCTCGAAGATATCAAACTCGCCACAATCCGGCCAGCAAGAGCAGGAACCACTCTTGATCCCATATTGGGCAACTCGGGGGATCTGAGCATTCAAAGCCCAGATGGCCGGGAGATCATGACCACCCTTTCCACCAGCATCACCCTTGTCACGGGGCATTGAGAACTCGGCAAGGACAACTCTAATGTCTCCCCCAAAACCACCTGTTCACGCGTTAATAGTGGATCATGTGACGACGTCGGACTCAACATACGATAGGCTGGGATTCCGGGCCTGTAGAAGCCACACTCATCTCCTTCACACTTCTTATCCGAGAAGATTATGAACTCATCATCTGAGACGGTGGTGATATCACCCAAAATCTCCGGCTTAGAGGAACCGGCACTGTTATCCTTGCTGGCATATGAGATTGACTGACCAAGACAGTCCCTGTTGAATATTAGCTATTATCAACTAGAATCACCAAAGTAAACCCACATGTCGAAATCGCCAGATCCTTGTCCACCACGATGGTTCATGAAAACCAGACCTTCAGAAACCCCTTGTCCAGAGTGATAGTATGCCTGGCGCTTAAATGTTCCCGCAGAAGAAAGATCAACGGTATCAGACTTAGCAGTACCAGGCTTGACAGCAGGGGGGGATGGGCCGGCCGGAGATGGACCATCAGGCTTGACGGTAGGGGGGTGTGAGCTGCCCGGAGATGGACCATCACTCTTGACATAATTCGGAACAGGGGCCACGGTGACCTCGGTCTCGACTGTTGTGTAAGCCGTAGTATACTCAGTGACAACCTCTAAAGCGGGCTCAGCAACGCGCTTGTGCTTGTGGCCATGGGCATGACGACGCAGATGCTTCTCTGAGCGCTTGGATTTCTTGTTGTCTGCAGTATATACGGCAAACTGTTTCAAGTTTATGGGACCACGGAAGTGAAGAGATATCTGGCCCACGTTAGCATCGTACAAGTAACTGGCCCAATATTTGTAAGCTTACTGGTTCATTTAATGGTGCCCCAGGACCAGAAAATTTCTTCGTAGTGTAGGTACACTTGCAAGAGTGCTTGTCCATGCCGGTGACCTGCTGGTACTCCCCGCTATATCCCATGTTGCTGTACCCAAGATTGTCAACGCGGTTACAGTACGAGATCGAGTTGATGACGAGCCCGGGATTGCATTGCGATGATTCCCCAGCAGTGGAGCCAAACATAACGGAGAGGGCAAGGAAGCCCCCTGCGAGGAGACTAGAAGAGCGGGTCATTATGGTCGAATTCCGAGAGTCACTAATAGATGATAGGAACCCTCCGCTTGGCAATTACCAAAGCCTTAAGGAAAATATAATATAGTTTCAAAAGGATCGCGAGTATAGAAATTAAAGATCGTAACGAGCGACGGCGGTGCAAAGGACGACGACGGGAGAAGGAAAAGTGCGCCTGGGGGGGAAGCCTGTACATATAGGCAGGCAGGAGACAGAGAAAGGGCGATGACCGTGGTGTAAGCCGTGGACCATGGCGCATGAACTGTGGAATCTCCTGAATTGGCGGCAAAAGTCCGAGAGCGTCTCCTGGCTATCGAGCGGTAATTTCCAGAGCGGTACCACGACCGACACTGACCCCGGCCGACAGTGTTGGTGCTGCCCGCGAGGAAGGACAAGGGGAAAAGACATTCCTTCTGGGAGCAGCCCTCTGGGAGTAGATGAGGTGGCGCTTGACACGGGCCATCTGTCTCAAACTAGTCAGGAAGGAGAAGAAATGTGGATCTTGGAGTATTTCAGACCAAAAACAGACAGGTATTATACCCTATCGACAGCATTTTGCGCCGGTACGGCCTGGGCTTAAAAAGAAAACTGCGGTTACTGTAGAAACACGGAAACCGATTGGCTCGAGCCACCAAAGGCTCCAATCTGGCAGAAATGAGGGATGATGGGACCTGAAGGTGTGGTGAAGTGAGAAGAGGGTGTGGAGACACGAGAAGGGGGAGGCACTCACCTACGGCCAACCACAATTCAACTAGGTGAGATTTAGCCTGCGGGAGGGACCTGCATCCAGCACTTGCAGCGAGCCCCAACACTAGCTCTTTTCCTACTCTGGCGTTGAAGTCTGCGCTGTGATGGGAAAGTTCACGATATACTCGTATGCGACATAAAAGTGCGGTAATTGGCTTCGACCAACCAGGATGGCGTATTTTAGGAATTTGATGAGCAGTTCGCTGGACTCAATGAGGAATAGAGAACAAAATTGCGCGGCTCGGGCACGGGTTAACAAGGTGATATTGGATGAAAATGGATTATCACTCCTATACGGCACTGTGCTCGTACAGTATCGGAGAAGGTGACTGAGACCTTCCAGTTGTGCGGAAGATTGTTGGTATACAGCGCACGCTATACCGGTAGCAGTGTATCATACTCGAGTACAGTACTCGTACTGGAGTACGGTGCTCGGTAGTCATGGCGAATCAAAGGTAGAAGTCAACTCACACGAGTCGAGGGTTTACAAGTACCAGTACCAGTACCGTACCGTAGGCTCTGCGCTCTCTGCACGACGTATAATATAGTGCATACGCTCAAGTATGGTGCGACCGCCGAACCAAGCTCCCGGAGGAGAAATACGGTAAAACACGCACACAATACCGGTCTCTATTACTCGAGTGCTCGAGTACCGGTACCGGTAGTAGAGTCATTCAACTCGGGGGTTGAAAGTCTCTGAGGCAGGTTTTCAGAATTGGAGACTTCGGTGTGTGTAACGCGTTTCTAGTACGCGATACACAAATCTGGCGACTCCACTCGAGAGTTGTCTTTCGGAAAACGCTTTTTCGAGTCCGGGGCTGAATGCCACTCTGAAAGGGATAAGCCAGCGGCTGTGCTCGAGTACTTGTAGAGCACAGTGCTGTACTAGGGTACGAGTACCATACCGGTGCCGGTATGGATGCTTCATCAAGGTGGTAGAATTGGTAAAAGCAGCGCAACGGGCAACAAGGAGAAAAGGGGTATCCCAAGATCTGGATCCTAGTCCCATCCCAAAGAGCGATGGTGAAACCAAAACGCACTACTGCAATCTTATAAAATTAAGGGACGGCCAACCTCACAAGTCTACCTCTGATGGGCAGGGGTAAAGTATTCGAATGACCGTTGTCTGATCGTAATTACTTTATCCGGATATTTCCATGAGATTTTAACTCAGATCCCTACATGCTCAAGCAATACTGGTACCGGTACCGTATCTGGTAAGAATATCTACTCGAGTACGGTACGAGTACTCGAGATAGGAGGTTTGCGTGATTCTCCGCTCATTCACTCCCACACAAAAATCCCCTGCTTGTCCCAATACTTTACCCCTGCCCCGCACACTTGTACAGTACTCGTCCCAGGCAAGAAGTATCCGAACGCCAGGGGGGTAAAATGCGGTTGGTAACAGGGGGTAGAGAGAGTGTGTAACGGGACTGAATATGGGCATTTACTGCCCATTTTGGTGTCTTATTTTACCCAGAATGCCATAAAAAACATCATGAACTTATAAATTTTATAAACAAAAAAGCCTATTCTATAGAAAAAGAAGAAGAAGAAAAAAAAGAGAGAGAGAGAGAGAGAGATTGAAAACTATCTACCACGCTGTATGTCCCCCGTGAGCATTGATAACAGCCTCGATCCTCACTGGCATGGTATCAATAAAATCCAAAATATCCTCCGGCCCAATACTAGCCCATTCCTCCACAACTGCTGCAGCCATTTCATCCTTTCCCCGTGGGCGTGGAGAGCGTTTATTGAGGTTGTCCTTTAAAAGATGCCAAATATCCTCGATTGGATTAAGGTCTGGCGAGGACGGCGGCCAATTTATCTTAGGCATTTCATAAACCTCGTGAAATGCCTGTGTATATACCGCTCTATGAGCGGAAGCTCCATCCTCCATGACCCACAAACTATAACCAGCCTGCTGGCTTGCCTGTCACCAGAAAGGCCAGAGAACTGGAGTAAGCACATGGGCAACATAACTGCGTGCAGTTATGTTGCCCCAATCATTTTTTTGCCACTATATCAGAGGAGCCTTCTCTCCTCCCAATATCCCCCCCCAAATCATTATTGCGTTTTTTTTTTTAAATTTGGGAGCTATACAAGACTCCTCATATGCTTTCCCGGGACGTCGAGTTACCCATATGGTACCACAAGAGCCTGAAAGCCAAACATAACACTCATTAGTCCATATGACTTGACTCCAGTCATCTCTCGTCCAATGCCGGTGGGAGAGCGCAAAGTTGAAACGCTTCTCCTTTGCAGCCTCCGACAAAAAGACCTTCTTTCGCACCTTGCGGTGCTTGTAACCTTTAAGAGCAAAAGCCTTGCGTAGAGTCTTCTCATGGGCATGAATGCTGCAAATATCAGCAATCTCTCGCAACGGCATCTGGCGGTGCAGGCTATCCTGGGTTGCTGTTGCTACTAAACGCTGTCGGGTCGGGGTATCGATTGAGAAAGGCCTACCCTTTCTCTTTTTTGGTGTAGTGGGAGCCTGGCAGATGTCCCAGACTATGCTAACACCCAGATTTTGATCCTGGGCTATACGGCAGTATGACCATCCTGCTCGAAACTTGAGAGCTTGCACGAAGCAGTGGGTCTTGTAATCGGTCTTGTGAGTCTTGACTGGCATTGTCTATCAAAATTGTTAATATTTTGTATAAAAACCACGAGTTTTTCAATTCTTACCTATTCTCTGATCACGATATGTTGGAAAGTAGCAATTCTGGGGTGTTTACATTGCTAAGCTGTGCGGAAAAACTCTTTATTACTGTACACACAGACCATCTAAGAACCCCTGCACCAACCACGTTTCACCCCCCCCCTGGCGTTCGGATACTTCTTGCCTGGGACGAGTACGGTAGGATGCGAAGCGTGATCAAGGGTGAAAAGGAGGAAGGAGTGAGAAAGATAAAGAGGGACGAGGGCTAAAAAGTATCTGAAAGGGAAAATGGAGGGTGGGGAAGTGGAACAACAAGGACGAGATACCGGTACCGGTAGTCGACTGCGGGCTTGCGTGAGGAAGTTTTTCAACTCTCAAAGCAAAGCGAATGCCGAATGCCAGAATATTGCTGTTTTCACCATGGCTGTCGCAACCCTGTACTAGTACAAATAATTTCCCAATGCTAGCGTCAAGGCCATGACCAAACAATAAGGTCTGGAGTATCCCCCTCAGTTCTCAAAGATTGCCCAGTGGCGCGCTTAAACTTGCGGTACAAGTACGAGTAGGAAAAAAAACAACGTCTATTTTCCAAAGTTGCGACAACCATACCGGTACCGTAGTGAAAACAGTAATACCGGTAAGAAGTTTGCTCAAGCCCAACGAGGTTTTGTCGAGGAAAGATTTAGAGAGGAAAGAGGAGTAGAAAAAGCGACGGGTGCAATGGGTACTGTACTATTATAGTAAGGTGCGTAGATACAAAGTGTGCAAGGTCGAGTTCGCAAGCCCAATCAATGTATGATATTGAGAGGATCGATTATGTAAACCCGGTGATTCATGCGTAACCATGAATGCGACCCAGAACCCAATTGCCAAGATTCGGCCAAGCATAATGAAGCATTCGAATGATAAATTGTGACATTTGATATGCAACAGACCTTCGATATAGTATCATGTATTAAAAGTTGTAACTGCACTGGAGATCATATCATACACCTTCAACTACCTAGTAAATACAGGGCTCTGTTAAATAAAGCCTACTACTATGAGAGCCATCAGCAACAGTTTTCTGCCACTTCTTTAACTGATCATAATCAGAAAGATTCCGGCTTTGCCATCATGCATTGCCCACTTGTCCTGCAGAGATATTGTTCACTGGCAAGTGCTGTAAAATTGGATACTTTCAACTTCAGGTACTTCTGGCATAAACAGCAAAGCTTGTATTTATACAACAGTGTTAAGCAAAGACTGTTTGTTGAGCGCCGTATTGAGAGGTTTGGTTTAATTTTCTGCTGGTTTCTTATATGTCTTTATTTTCCACTCTGTCCCTTATCTAAACCTCAAAAGGAATGGGTATCATAGTTGTCAGTTATTTCTGCTCAATTATCACTCGGTTTTCTGTTTTTTTAAAGACTATTTTCGTCAGCCTTCTCACTCTCCCAAATGTTTGGCTCTCCTACCGTAGATTGTCAACCCTGGATTTTGAACATCCCAGATAGGAAGGCACGGCTGTACTTCTTGTAGGATAATTACGACCTAGAGCTCCGATGTCCAACTTTTTCGAGTTCGCTTGTTGTTATAGTGAACAGGCTTGTCAGAGACGGCAATCCCTAACTTTGCCTTGAGAAATCTCTTTACCCAGGAGAGTATGTCGGGGGCGAGGAAGAACACCACCTGATACCATCTCCTCTCCTACACCTCCCTTCTCTTTGGAGTGGTAATCATCGCTTGTGTGTCTACTGGATACCGTGCTCGAGTACGCGTCTCGCCGGTTTGTCAGCGCCATTACGTTACCTTAGGAGCTGTCCAATCGCACCAGTTTGAGCAGAGCCAGACTCCCGCCATTTACTGAATTCTAAACTCTTAGAGGAACAGAACCTCGACCACTCACTATCTCGAAATTGGCATCTGCACAGCCGTCACCAAGCCAGATTGAACAGGTCCGATCATGTGGTCGGGGAGAGTATGACAACAGCAAAGGAATGGAAAACCATTTAATCTATCAAGGTCGGACTTCCCTCAGAAATGCTCCTTCAAACACCTCCCAACCCAAGCTGGACGCAAAAGGTATATATCTCCTACACCGTTGTTTTCATCTTTATCGAACTCACTCTTACTGTCATACCTTTCAGAACAGGGTTTCTCTCCTAGCACGCCAACACCCAGTTTACTGGGAAAGCCGTATACTATGGGCAGCTTCTCTTGGGACCGCGATTGTGTCCAGGAGCGTGGAGGAGCAAGGGGTGCGACTGAACACCTCGGACCCGGGGGGGATGGAGGCTTGCTTGCGCGCGATACGCGCAAAAGGAATTACGAAAAGAACCCGAGGAGGAAGATGAGAGAGGCTGGACGTGGTATCGAATGTGATCGGAAACGCAAGCGTGGGAAAGATTCAGGGATCATGGGCGGGAAACACCCCAAAGAAGCTCGGGTTCAAGGACATATGCTAAAGCGGGTTCTTTCGCCCTGTAATTCCCGAGATAGGCTCACGGTAGGTCAATATCAAGTTGGGGAGAGGTTTCGCTCATTAATTTGTTCAATTGATAGCTCCCGCCAACTCATAAGACTGGACTTTTCAAGAAGGGTCGTGCTTCACGGCTGGTAAAATCCGGATGTTCGTTTAGCAAGCTGCTAAGAGTGTATCGTTGGCTGATATTTGGATGGGGTAGTGTCAGATTTGGTTTTTTCAGAGATGAGGTTCCTTGCTACGACTGGTGAGGACCAAGTAGCTTTGGATCAGGGGAGAACCATGTCTAAGGGCGAGGAACGTTTCTGTAGGCCTCATGCCTTGGAAATCTCACATTCGGATAGAGCCCGAAAGGTCTCAGGTGCTGCCCACCGCGACAAATTGACGCAAGATAGGAAGGAAGTGCAAGGCAAGATCAAGGATAGGGCACTACTGACGAAGCTTAGTATGTTGAATGCTGGTCACAGGACCCCTAGTTCTCCGTGTGTGAGCAGCTTGGGTCCAAAAGAATCTACATGCAACCCTGGCCGCGGTATTCGGAATTGCTTTGATGCACGAAAAGCATTGCTATCACCTGTCAATCTGGCAAGGGGCCGAATGATGCCAGGCAGGGGGAGTGAGGAGAAACCCAAGTCGACAGCTATGAACGCAAGCGCAGTAAGGACTTTCCAGGGCTTAAGTGGGCTCATAGAGGAGGGGCAGCAAAATCGCGTGTCCGGGCAGCCACAGGCTGCGTCTGTGTCACCAACATTGAGGACATTAGAGAGGAGAGGAACTCCACGGAAAGCGGGGAATGGGGAATTCGCACTCCAAGAATATCTTGGGAGGCGCACAGGGTGTAGCAATGATGGGGAATACAAGGTTTGGAAATAGTCATTTGACCAGGTTCATTGTGGGTTTTATGGGTTGCTCGTGTTAACTTGTACCAGGGGGAGCCATCATCGTCACCCCTTTCAGCTCTCTTGCGTGTCTGCTCAGTTTCGCCCAAGGGGTCAGTGGGGAGACTGGATATCAAATCCACGGCTCCTGGTGTATTGGAGTCAGCATCCAATATCCCGCCGGGAAGAATCAAGGAAATCTTAGGACATGGTGAGTCCAGGGATCAAAAGGGCTTTCGGAGATATGGCGGGAGGGGATATTTCGGTGGCGGGGGGTCGGGGGGGCCGCCGGAGCTGATGAACAACGAAAAAACTAGATGCGAGGACTGTGAGGGGCTAATACATTGTGGGGGAGAGCACCGGTGGGATGTCTGCGGATTTGTAAAAGAGGTTGTCCCGGGTGAGAGACGAGGTGGAGAAATTAGGGGAATGATAAGAGCGGGACAGGCTGCAACATGCAACATTACTATGCCGTCTCAGGAAGAATTTCTTGCCAGAACCGGTTCGGGGGACCTCGGGATAGAAAATCTAGATGAACACTTCCTGCGAGGATTGCTTAGCATGAACGCAGAAGCATACGTAGAGGAGGAACCTGAGGAGCCACTTGCAAATACGTCACTAGATATAACTGGTTGGGGTTGGACGGACGACGAGCTAGAAGGGGGCGGAGTGGGAGGTTTGGATGAAGGTCTTGACATTACAGAAACAAAACTCGTAGGGAGGCCTGAGGCACAAAAAGGATACCGAGAGTGCCAAAGTTCTGTCTATGGTCGTGGGACTACGGAGGACGATGCTAGGCTCTACTCCTTATTAGGTTCTCCAAACACCAGTCCTGGCGTATTCGAGAGGCGATTCTGGAGACCGAATATTCGCGGGTGAGGGAATCTGCGACAGCAGGGTGGATAGGCGCAAGTGGGAACTGAAATGTCATTCAGAAGAGAAAAGAGTTTGAGGACAGTGCAAGAGGGAGGAGGGAGAAACTACCGTCAGGCTGACCCTGGGGGTGTTCGAGAAAGGGTACAGGAGATGGAACGGCAGTTTGGAGATTGCAATACCTGCGGTTGAGAATTGCAGATGACCTACAGGGAAAGAGGGAAGGCTCTCTACGATCACTCGACAGAGCACGAAGCCTGGTGTTTTAAGGGAATTTCTTGAAACTTTCAAATACCCTATTCAAGGCATTATCCGCTACCTTAAGGCACCCTTGAGAGGAGCAGTTGGGGCTATCGCCCCTCATGGTCGAGTGGATGGTATAGTTATTATTCTTGTTCGGTTATGGGTGGCGCATGGGTAGTGGTTTGTTGAGGGGAGAACTGGAGGAGGTGGATCAATGACAACTAGTAACTCAACTCAACTAGGGAGTTTTTGAGGTATGATATTTTTTTATTATGATAAACTTCTTCTACTTCGGGCTTTCTGTGGCTTATCTAAGCTCACCTGCCCTATCTTCCACCACTAAACTATGTTTTATGCACACCCTGTTTCTATCATACCTCTCCTCCGGTCTCTCTAATCGGGCGAAGCACAATCATATAAGTTAGTTTGTCTCTCCCTTCATGTATCCTTTCTCAGTCAGATACAGTAGGTTAGAATTACTGTAATAGTGGAGTGCAAAGTATTTAGAAGGTGGGCAAAGGCTGCCTTAATGAGCTAGAGCAAAGGGTAGGGTACTCGAGCTCAATCTCACCTCTCTATCCCGGACAGCCAAAATCCGAAGAATCTGTCCGGCACAGCGAGTAATCCGGGGCAACTGGTCAGTCTTTGGTGGAAAGAAATTCAGCCTTCACAGAGATCCATACGAGACAACGAGGTATGATATCCGGATTATCAAGATCCGGAAGACAGCGAGGCGTGTGTGACTGTACTGTACAGTACTCGAGTATTGGGGACAATAATTTGCAAAAGATCTTATGTTCAATTCTGATATATCATACCTCACATACTACTAGTAGTATGACATGTTTTAATATTATCATCCAAACATCAATCATCTGGTCGATATATCTGATTCCTTTTCTTTCAGGCATAAATCTTTCCACAGCCTCAAAGCTTTTCATATTAAAATTTTCTAGTCCTATCAACTTTTCCTTTCTTTTTTCCTCAACGGTAGAAGCTACTAATCAAAATTCTGGATGATGATCAGGCATGGCTGTAGACTATATTACTGTACTGTATAAAGAAGTTGTGCTTAAACACGGTACTCGGGACAAGCATACTGTACTATGATAGTACAGTACAACTTGTGAGTTGGAAATAACACTTATACGGTTTATACTACAAACACCCCATCACTTCATCCCCTCCTAATTGTAAATTGTAAAATTGTGTTAACTTAAGGGCAATGTTGACCCTATTGGGATATGATACCAGAAAAGGTGCCTAGAACTAACGCAATAAGTCTATAGAGATTCCCAGAAACTTGAGGGAGGAAAATCATAACAGACTCATACTGTACAAGAACGGTCTTCAATGACACAACCGGAATATAGAGAATTGCAGAGCTGTATGCGAGAGGCTGAACTAATATGATGCAATATCCAACTGTAAGGAGGATTAAGTCAAGTTAAGGCCGGAGGAGGTCTTTATTGTATCATGGATGGAGGGATGTGTGTAGAAAGGGTCAGACCCATGGATGGGCCACATTATCGATCACGACCAGAGGACCCGGTCTCGATATGAGAGGCTTGGTATCGGTCTTCATGTATTCAAGACCGCTGATTTCTGTTATGTCCTGTAGAAAAACGCTTCCGGCCCAGTCTTCTCGGAGCCATACCCACTATTGCTGTTACTATTGAGGAGTGGTCTTGGTACTCGTAGTGCTTGGTACAACTGGGACTGGTTAATAGTAGTATGGGCTTATTATTAGTCTCGGGCAAACGTTTTTTATCCAGAAAAAAAAAACCCCCCAAATTCAAAAGGTCCTTGAAGGTGAGGCGCGCCCAACTCGAGTTTAACCGGGTCAAATCTGACGAAGTGTAACTATGGAGAGTGTCAATCTTGGCAGTTTTTTTTTTTTGGAGGACGAGAAATGTCAGGCGAACTCAAAACATTCCTAACCCCGGAAACCTGATGAAATTCTACTCCTCAATTGGCCGAGTGATCCAGTAGCCAATAGGAATCGGTTCGACTCACCTGCCCTTTACGCCAGGTGCAACAGCCACCGTATGGAAGGGAAGTAATAGTCTATCACACCCCCGGGCTCACCTCTTCAAGCAATCTGCTTAACTTATCAAAGTTGGCCTGCCTTATCACTTACTAACCCCAAACTTGGTTTCCAAATCTGTTCCCCGGTGCCAACTACAACCGATCACTCGTTGTGGGGTCATTGCGATTTGTTAGTAGAGTTTCCTATTGCTCTCGAGTACCGCTGCCGGACCAAGCCTCGTGCTCTGGGCTGCGGTGCTCCGTCACTTGTACGAGTATCATACCATGTTCCTCTTTGCACTGGTGCTGCATACTGATACACACCAAAACACTATTACGATTGTTCTTAATTTTTCTTTTCATACACCCACCAAGGCCCACATTTGCGATCCAGCGAGTAACCTCACTGTTGGAACTCAGTTTTTTTTCCCACTATGTTTGTCTTGTATCGCATATGGTAGTTCAATCGTTACTTGCCCTCCACCCTGTACCGGTAGGTTAGTTGTTCCCGCGCTTCTGAGTTGTCATCTCTCTGGGACGAACTCTAGGGCTGGCTCCCCGTCATATTTGGTTTTGTTCAAATAATAACTTCTCAAGTGGAAAACCGTACCGGTATCACCCCCTCCCCAAAGAGGAAGCTATTTAGAAATTCTGGACGAGACTTGCCGTGAGGGTAGTTTCGGAACGATATCATAATATCATACTCGAGTACTGGTATGATACCATACAGTAGAGTCCTCCTGTAATGCGAAAGCCAAGAAACCCCAACTTCGGCTTTTTGCACAAAACAGGGTGATCATTGGGGCAGGTGACCTCAATGATCCCACATCCGTGGATCGCATCAAACACAATAAACTTAGTTCCACCACTCTTGGTGTCGAGGATGAGCCGAAGGGGTTATGCTTCCAGGTTGCATGGTCCGGCGAGAAGTTATGAAAAGGTTATCCGGGGCTAGCCCGCCAGACACATCCCTGTCTGTTCCAGATAATGGTTTCCCACCCAACTCCTACGAGTACCCTCAAGCACTCATCCAGCGGTTATGCTAGTGGTTGGTAGGTCACCTTGCGGCTTTCCTGAAAGTGCTGTATTGCCCGTAGATATGCGGAATCTGAGCTTTCCCGTCGCTCAACTTTCCTCGTACTGAGAATCTAACATCATTTCTGAAAATTAGCTTGCACAATCCGGCTACTGTTATGTATGGAATACAACCCAAAATACAATACCGGTACCGGTGCTCTACTCACCCGTTGAATGAGTGGTGCAAGCCTTCGAAGGAGCCCAACGCCCAAATTCCCCACCGTATGGTCGCCTCCTGTCCTGCTCCCAGCTACCGAGCAATACCGTCCCGAGACAATGTATATGCGGTCAGGTGGCAGAGATGTGAGTATCTCTATCGGTGAAGAGCGATGATAGGTTTACCGCATTCACCTGAGAGGACGGGTTCACTCCTCATGGGTGAAAACAGTACCGGTGCCAGTTGGTTTGAAATGGGACATTTCGTCCTCGAAGAACTACCGCTACCGATATGGGGCTTGTAAGCACTGGCTTTTCACCTCCCATACCCGTACTTTCGGCCGCTCTTCCTCCTCTCTCTCTCTCTTTTACTTCCCCCTCATTGGAGTAAGTTATCCCCCGTCATACGTGAGTAGGAGGGAAGAGAATAGTATAGTAAATTACAGCACAGTACGAGTACGGTACTGTACGAGTAACTCGCACAATGTACTGGTGTCACTCGTCGGTTGTCAACAACTCTCGCTGTTGAGGGAGGGAGGAAAACGGTGGGTCGCCCTTTCTGGCCAATGCAAATGCGATGTGCCTAAACAGTCCCTGGTGAGGGGTACCATATGACGTAACATCGCGTTCAACAGCACTTGACTTGTACAGTACTGCACGAGTGCGGGCTCTTAACATTGCGATGAAAGGATGTCCTTCCTTTTTTTTCTTCCCTTTCTTCCTTCCTCTTCCTCTCCTCCTCTTTCTTTTCTTTCTTCTCCCTCTTCCCAGACCAAAGGCTCATAAGCATCCGCCTTGTAATAATTTGCAACCTCTCCAGTATGATACCAACAAGCCATCCAGTTAACTCACGCAAAATGATGCATAACATTGTATGTATGTGTTGGGTCCAAATGACACCTGTACGTAACTTACGGGCTATAAAATTGCTTGCCTTGTCACGTATGGCACGCTCTGGTGCACTCTGGTGTGCTCCAACTACAGTAAGTGCCCTCACCACCAGAGTGCTTGTATGCCTGTACGCTTTCCGCATTCGATATCATCGTCCCTTGTTGGCCACTTTCGCCGTGCTTCTAGCATTCTAGTCCCAAGGAAAATCCATTGTTGATCGATCCAGGCCTGTTTGGTGGGGAGGGTTGGTGCTTGTCCAATTTTCACCCACATTCCCTCCTGTACTCGAGCACGGTGGTCCAGTCAAGAATACAGTAACAGACTCCTTCCACATCTCAATTCTCTTATGGTTTACCTTAGACTATTCCTACTTGCTCGATCGCACAGGAGAGGGATCATTGAATTGCCCTGCAGTATGTAGCTTATGTGAGGATATGAGGGGAGAATCAGGAGCATAATCACCACCACCACATCATATCTGTTTCTCTCTTCCTCACTTCATATTTTACAGTAATGGTACTGCGACATTCCGAAAATACGATATGCCATATAACTTTTCGTCCTAGTGCGCACCAACGAGCCCATCATTGTGGAACTGGTATTAGATACATCGCGATTTTCCCGCCCCAAAAGTCGCTTGAGTCGCATTTGAGGCCTGTGCAAGCCCCCCCATTCGGACCTCTCTATTTTTTTAGACTTCTCGGTAAGTGGCTTGAAAGGCGGGTGTTTGCTCATACGTCGTATGTGATTTCGGTATGTACGAGGATAGCGTTCAAAATTGTGCGCTTTGTTCGGAGAGCAGGTTTCACGGAGCTGGGCCAACCCAGTTCCTTCCTATCCCTCCCTCCCCGCCCACACCCTTCTTCCTCCTCACCTCCTCCCACACTCTCTTACGCACACTCCCCTTTCCATCTCTGCTTTCCACCCCCTCCGCCCAGTGATTTACGCTCCCAGCACTTCTTACAATTCCTTCATAAACCTCCACTACCTCCGTGTTCCCCCCTCCTCCCCCACCTCCTTCCTTCCACAAGAGTCACAGCTTCGTCAAAGACAATTCTCTCTCACTCTAAAAACACAACATAAGTTCACAAGTTCACATTTTTACCCTCCTTTGGAGACGCTCAGGCATGCATTTTCTCCCCATCGTCTTCTTATCATGGGCAACCGCCTGACCATAGTGCTGCCATGATGTTAAATTGTGCGTTCAGTTATTCTCGTCCCCAAAATCAGTTTGTAACGGCCTCAGAGCAATGGCTAAACTTTTCATCGGGTTCGTTGTGCGCATTTCCCTCACTTCTCCCCCCAATCCCTGGCCATTCTTTTCCTTCTCCTTGCGCCCCCAATCAAGTTGCCTTAACTCTACAGCTCTATCTGGCAATGTGCCACTAACCGTTGAACTAAATTAACCCTCAACAGAGGCCTTGCCTGGCACACCGACGATGATGCCTTAAGGCAAAAGTTCCAAGAATTCGGTAACGTTGAGGAAGCAGTATGTTTTTTTCTCTTTCCCCTTTGATTCGGGGTTCCGGATTCGCATTCTAGCCCGTTGCTAACATCTTCTGTATAAGGTTGTCGTAAAGGATCGTGACACTGGCAGATCCCGTGGGTTCGGTTTTGTGAGATACAGTAGCGATGAGGAAGCTACCGCCGCTATGGATAACATGAATGATGTGGAGTATGTACTTTCGTCACCCATATCACAGAAGTTTCCCAGCTAAGATTCAACGTAACTCTCTAGATTTGATGGCCGCAGGATTCGTGTTGACAAGGCTAGCGATCGTCGCCAAGGCAGGTCTAGCATTTAATAGTCCCTTGACATCTACTGACCTGTTTTATAGGGGGCGGTGGTGGTGGATATAGTGGTGGTGGTGGTGGTGGTGGGTATGGTGGTGGTGGTGGTGGCGGCGCCTGGGGCGGTGGTGGTGGGTATTAAAGGCTCGCACCCGATTCCGTACCGAAGTTTCTATAATTGAGGTATGGTAGGATGAAAATGAGTGGTCGATAGCGTGTTTAATTCCTTCAAACCTGTAAACGAAAAAAGTGGGGGATCAATGTTTTTCTTGTCTCAACCAATTTCTCCCTTTCTGGAGGCAATATCAGAATGCGGTGCATCTTTTTTTTCTAAAGCGATAATGACCATCATGAAACGACCCCCAACCCTCCATCTCCTATTCATCTTTGCTCCTCGGATCTGCTGTGTCTAGGCCCACTGCTCCATGCTCGCCAAAATGTTTGGTCTCGTTCTCGGCCTCCATTTCGGCGACACGGTGGAATAAACGACTGACATGGTGATCGTGGGCTGCTGGGCAAAGACCTGTCAACGATTTGTGTAGGTTGTATAAATAATCTCGATTTTCCCCTGACGGCCCCCGAGAGTTGAATATATGGCGCGCAAGTTCGTCGAGCCCTGGAACGCCTTCGCGTGCGACAAATTGCGGGTTTCCGGGTGTCCCTATATAAACTAATGCCTTGATTGGCGGGACGTCCGCCGAGAACTGATATCAAGCAGAGAAAGTCAGCATCTTCTATGTCTCTCCCCATAAACCACAATACTGGAGGAACTATTGGCTTCGCCGAGAACGCACCGAAAACACCTCGATGTCGTTCCGGATGCTATACCCGTTTATTTCCCGAATGTTCAACTCCCTATCATCATCATGGTCAGCCATCCTCCAGAGATTTGAGAAACCCTCTCCTCTCTACTTGGAATTTTATCATTTTTCGGTCATTCTTATTGTCCTTCATACCTCATTACGTCTTTTACTCGATTGGCCTTAATCCTGAAGGCCATACCCCATACCTGGTCATCGTCCTCAAAGTCCTTGTAATGGTTAGTAAGTTGGGCCATACGATTGCACATCTCATGACCCATTGTATTCACATGATCGTTCAGTGTCTTCCAGTATGATCTCTCGATCAATGTAACTACTCGCCCGGGTCTAAAGATATTTTGGTCAACAGTTTATTCAGAAACGATGCGGCTAGGAATCCCGGGTCACGGGGCTCCATAATAACGGATATTATAGAATCAGTACATACGCCTCCGGCGTTCCACGGTGGTCCTCACTAGGTTCATCTCGTCAGCTATCGCCCATATAACCTTGTTCTTGCTCAGGCTCAAGATCCGGGTGTCTGACATCGAGCATATGGCCCCGAAATGCCAAAATATGCTATCTCCCCTCTCACGCCATAACGGTACCGGAATTTACAAAGGGGAGGGCATGCTCCTTACCTAGATTGCCAAAACCTCCTCACGAAGCCTGCCATGGTAAAAAAGGAGTTAGAAAAAAGCTCCATCTCCGAGAATATCCATCAAACAAGTATCCAACTAAATACATAACAGGCGCGAAGCTCCCGGAGATTGGTCGGGTCAGTACTAGATCACTCCCCAAGCAGGCTTTTTCCATAGATCCAACGCCGAGCGTCTGTAGGGGGGTGCATGCACCCACCAGCTTGCCTTTAATGTAACCTGGGACTCGACGATCTACGAACATCTGGTGTGAGTATAATTGAAAACTCAAGCATGATATGTGGTACACAATATAAATCATCTCACCATAGTCTGGCGGTGGCTTCCAGATGAGGCTTCTAAATCACGAGAAGATCGGTATTAGAAAAAAAAAAAACGGGTCAACAAGAAGGAAGTTGCATCTATCATGAGAGCAATATTCTCCCCCTTGCTATGCGAATTTTCCCCTCCATTAGCTCCGTTGCCTTACCCATATCCGAACAACCAGAATTCAGTTGAATGGTTCATCTGACGTGGATTCGGTGTTCTTAGTTGAAGCAAATAGAAACAAAATAGAAGTGTAGAAAAGCGCCGTGCTTGCTGGTGGGGGAAGAAAGTCTAGGAAAGAAAGAACGGAAGAGAACTTTTTTATTGGGTGGCAGAAAGAAAATTACCAAGCCACAGCGGACAAGCCAATGTCCACCACTCCAGTTCCCAATACCTCCCAAAGCCCCACCAAGACTCACCGCGCGCCCGCTATACTCACTTACTCTCAGCTCTGCTTGGTAAGAATATAGCTACACCAACCCCCCTTCCCGTCTTACTGCTTACTTTTCCTCAGCAACCTTTGTTTCCCTCCCAATCCTCCATCATACCACTTACATCGCCTATCCAACTTTCTCCCGCAAGTTCTCCCTTGTTCGTCCTACTAGGGAGGTTAATTCCCGAGCTCGATCAGCCCCGGACCCCGCTAACCCGCGAAGATATATTCCGGCGCCAAAAAAATGGCCTACTATAATTCGAATCCTGATGCTCTCCCAGCGTAAGCATGCTTATCCCAGTCCCTTTCCATACTAGACACCATTCTCCCCGATTACTTTGTTTCTTTTCTATGGGAGACTCGCTAACCTTCTCTATATCATTTACACAGCCACGCAGAACCGGAGCAAGTAAGTTCTAACCTCCATCTACCAACGAACGAATTTCTATTCTAACATTATGCTTGATAGGCCGCCCAGATGATGAGCGGCGGATACGAAAACCGTCCCCCTCCGAATCGCCCACCTCCAGTGGGATCAAACTACGGAGGTGGCGGTGTGAAGCCAATGTCCCCCCGCCCGGACCCGTACCGCCAGCAGCAAGGACACCAGGGGTATAACCAGCCACCGCCCGGGCGACCCCAGCAGTTCCAATCCCCACCTCCGGGGCAATTCGGTGGCGCTGGACAGCGGCCTCCACCGGTTTCAAGACCTCCGCCCACGCCTGCCCCAGCCCAGGGGGTCGATCCGACGTTGTTCCCGCTATTTAAGGCTGTGGACAAGGATGGTTGGTTCTTGCTTCTCGCCCACCAATAATATTGGCCGTCTTTTAGGCTCACATCGGGATATTGGATGTAGGCAGTGGACAACTGAGTGAGAAGGAGCTTCGAGCTGCACTCGTCAATGGGGATTGGACTTCCTTTGATCCTCACACTGTTCGTATGATGATTAGGTTATAATCCCTTCCCCTTCCCGACGGGTCATGTGCGGTTTGTAATGACAGCGCATACACAGAATGTTTGACACTGACCGTTCCGGCACAATCGGCTTCAATGAATTCTGGTCCATTTCCATCTCTCCCCCAACTCGTAGAAGCTACTAACACCCCATACAGCGGTCTCTGGGGCTTCTTGGCCGCCTGGCGCTCCCTGTTCGACCGCTTCGACGAAGATGGCAGCGGTAACATTAGCATCCAAGAATTCTCCAACGCTCTAACCGGTAAACCTTTTCTTCTACTCGTTCACCTATCCACCCTTATACATCTCTCTCGTTCCCTCTTGCACGTGACCGACTTCTAACCATCTTTCTCGCGAATACTGCAACAGCATTCGGCTACCGTCTTTCACCCCAGTTCGTGCAACTGCTTTTTAGGTCATACGACCGAAGAGGTCAGGATTCCTCGCCTCAAACTGCTGTCCAACAAGGTGGGGACGGTTGCTCCTTGGTTGACGTGAGACTAACGGGCAGGAGCTAAAGGGCAAGAGGCCATCTCTTTCGACTTGTTTGTGCAGAGCTGTATCAGCCTTAAGCGCATGACAGAAGTATTTAAGAAGTACGATGACGATCGAGATGGGTACGTTTCCTCCTTCCTCCCCCAACTACCCCACATAATAGCTAATCCGGAGCAATAGATATATCACCTTAAGCTTGTAAGCCCCATACTTCCCCACCCCCTCATTCAGCTCCAAACCAATTTACTAACGCTCTTCCGCAACCCCCCAGCGAAGAATTCCTAACCGGTATGCGCTTCACCCTTCTAGACATCATGGGATAATTATCTTCCTCCCTATCCACCAACTTATCTACGATGCAATAATATAACAATGACCCATACCTTGGAATATGATATTAATTTCAAAACATGTACAGAAATTCTCCGGCAACGTTGATATAACTATCAATCGGTTTAACCCTTCCTATTTTCGCCTTCAACCCAACCATTTCTTTGAGTTCGTCAGTCGGTCAGTCGGTCGGTCGGTCGGTCAACGGGATCTTGGAAATTCGGGATAGACAGTCACCAAATTTTATTCGCTTATGGCTAATCATGATTTCCTCTCTCCCCTTCTTCCTTTCCGTCGTCCGTCTGTTTGACGATTTTGTCTTGCGGTAGGTAAATTAGGGAGAACAAAAAAATTATATTCTCGCATACTTAAAAAAATTCCATAATGATAATGCGACATATGCTCTCACTCAATAATCGTGCCGTGAGCACTCGATTATCGTATTACCCACCCATATGCATGCTAAGTTATATCCAGCTACCCACTCATCCATGTAGTCAGCCCAGTCAAGTCCAGTCCAGTCTACCATCTAGTGCATATATCCCAGGATAAGCAAAGAAGAAAATCAGCGCAGTATAGGAAAACAAACAGAAATAGCCTGATCCCAAATCTACGCCCCCCCCACCACCTCCTCCCCAGCCTTCTTCCTCCGAGCCCTTGCGGGCTGCGTAGAGTTCACCTGCCTACTCAAATAATGCTTCTGAATTCCCAACGAGAATAGCAAGCAACAAACCGAGACAGCGAGGAAGAAACACCACATAGTGCTCAACCCGCGCGCATACGCATCCCTCGCCACAACCCTCTCCGCTGGCTCCAACGTCTGCACAAATCCCACGGAGGAAGCGGCCGAGTGACCGGAAATAGCGTTGAGGACTTTGTCGGGGAGGCGGCCGCCCGCGAGGTCGCGCGACTGGGACTGCATCGAGTTTTGGAATACGACCAGGCCGATGCAGATGGTCAGGGCTGTGCCCATGGTGCGCAGGAAGGCGAAGGTGACAGTTGCGGTGCCGACATCGCGGTAGTCGATATTTGCGTGGATAGCTATGAGCGGGGATTGAAAGAGGGGGCCGCAACCGATGCCCAATATTATTTGATAGATTACTATTTTGCCCCAGCCGCTGGTCCTATCGAGGTCTACTATGAGGCCAGCTCCTAGGGTCGTCATTGCTACACCAGCCCATATTACCTGAAGGATGTCAGTGGCTGTGGGAAAGGCTGGAATGCGAGTTATAATTGATGACTTACTTCTTGGTAGCGCCCTGCAGACTTTAGTGAGTACATGGAATATCTATGTAAAGGGGGCAGGGGTAAAAGGCATACCAGTCCGGGCAATTATCAATCCACTAATTGCAGAAACACCCGACAATGTCATAACATATGGCAACACATACACCCCCGCCATGAAGGCCGTATCCCCACGAACAGCCTGGAAGTACCTACAAGTGCATTAGCCCAACCCCCTCGCCAGAGATCCCACATATCGCAACCTACAGAGGAATGAAGTAACATCCTGCAATAAATATGAACCCGTGGAAAAACCCAACCTAAACACACTATCAACACCCACCAAAAAGCACCAGTAAACTACTAAAGCACATACAAAATAAGCACAGGCATTAGTCCGGTTAGTGAAAAGCTTAATAGGCATAATCGGCAACTTTGCCACTTTCCATTCAACATAGACAAAGGAGCATAATATCAACATTCCAAAAAGAATAAAGCATATCACGATCGGCGAGTGCCAGGGATGGGAGACGCCGCCGAACTCGAGGCCCAGGAGGGAGAGGACTGTGCCGGAGGCGACAAGAGCGATTCCTATCAAAACATCGTCAGCAAATAAGGTGCAAGAATACACCGGCACAATTCTACCCATGAATTGATAAACAAAAGGAGAAATGCAATTTGTAATTACCAAGCCAATCAACTCTTTTCAATCCTTCCTTCACCGTAATCTTCGGTGATTGCAGATGGAGAAGACATATCAAGCTGCCCATCGCCAAAACTGCAATTGGCACATTGATCCAAAAGCACAATCTCCATGTAACCTTTTCAGTAAAAACTCCTCCAAGTACTGGCCCAATGGCCGATGCGAAGGCCCACGTTAGTCCAATATACGACAAGTACATGCCACGTTCCCTAGCACATGTTTAGAGACCAACCCTATTGTGCGGCACGGCAAGGTGGGGGAAGACCTGTACTACCTGACAGCGATAAGGTCGGCGATGGTAACGTTAACAAGACCCAATTGACCGCCGGCCCCTAGACCTTGTACCACGCGGCCCACAAGTAGCATTCCTAGGTTTGGGGCTGCTGCACAAAGGATGCTATGCGCTGTTAAGCATGTCATGACACCATGGTTGTTTGCAGTAACGGATCAGAGAACCAACCTTCCAATAAGGAATATCATTGCTGCGGAAAGGAGAACCGGTTTTCGGCCCCAGATGTCGCTGTGAAGAGGTTAGTACAGGGTTTAGAATTCATAAGTGGATTGATAGAGTTCACCTCAGTTTACCCCATGCCGGCAAGAACCTGTACAGGCTCGTTTAGTATCTTCTATCAAGCGTAACTATGGGATTATTGAAAAGCAGCAACTTACGCGGCCGAAGTCAATAAATACCTGCACGCACCAGGCACACAGAGTCAGCTTCAACACTCCAACACCAACGACATAAATGCACAGCGAGAGAGGTAATAGCATACGAGCTGCCGATCCAAGTATACCCAGTAGCACTATTGAATTGCGCAGCAATAATCGGCATCGCAGTAGTAACTATCAACCGACCCGACAAATCAGTAACCAATCCCAACCAGTAAAAAACTCGATCCATATACAAATTCAGGATAAAAGGAATTTACTAATTGTCTGATCTAACGCCGCTAGAAACACACATATCTAACACAACCCACAAATCAGCTTAGTACATTCCGTTCCCCTATCCCATAAAAACCATGATTCATTTCACGATTTCATCCCATCTCGTTCACCTCAATCCAATTCAACCCCCCCACAAAAAAAAAGGAACAAACAAAAACCAGAAAGGTAGAATCCCATACACAAAGCGCCAGAACAATTATTGCCTTTCTCTTCTGCGATAACCCCTCTTGCTGCCCCTCCGGGGCTACAGCGTGCGGTTCAGTAATAGCATCCGGTGCAACACCAGTCTCGGCAGCCGTCTCGACAGCGCCAGCATTCTCCGTCCCACAACTCCCTCTACTCTCGATGCCACTACTATTTTGGTACTCTTGTAGCTTCTCGTTGAGCGAGAAAGGGTGACCCAATCTCGAGCCAGCAGACGTCGAATTCGTTTCCGTAAAATCATCGGTACGTGGTACAATTATCGTTGCGCCATCCGAGGACGATGCCGCTGAGGAGCGGAGGTTCAAAGATTCTTGGGCGGTAGGGGCTTGCGGGGGAATGGTAGTGGACGGTTCCCCCTCCTGGATGGCAGCTTTCTCGGGGGGCATTGCCGGGTGTGTGCGTGCGCGTTTTGCGGGTCCGGGTGGTGATGATAGGGAAGTTTGGCACTAGGTGCTGGGGAACGTATGTACTGTACAATATATGTATGGGACAGTGCGGAGCGGGGCGTACGCTCTCTCTGCCGTCCTTGGTGTTGAGATGGAGAAAGGAATCACAAAAATTGAGGACTAAAGAGAGGTAGAGAAGAGAGAAAACGGAACACTAGAACTCGTGATAGATATTATATGATAACGTTATGGCCATTTCGTGCCCGTCGGGGGTCAGGCTGGCGGCGGGGAGGCAAGCAAGCACCCTCGGTAATCCGGGTGTCCAGAGCAACTTGGGCAAAGCTAGCCCGCGCATATCGTAGCAGGGTAGTAGCAGGTAGACTATAACATACGTTACTCGAGTATGATACGCCACATAACTAAATTAGAGCCCGTAAAACTGGAGTAAGCTCCTCACACACAGTCTCTGTGTTAGAGTCCCCACCCTGCCCTAACTTGACCTCACTGGCGTAACGTCCGCATCCTCCCCGTTGCCGGTACCATTGCCCGAGCACCCGTAAAGTCCACCCCCGCAAACCCAATTCACATCACTTCAGTCACGGTAGGGTAGCTTTTAGACCCCACTTCGTTTTCGCCTCCTTGCCGACACCCTAGCAAGATCCCCTGAGACTTCGGCTTTGTCCGTGGAAACGCCCCTCCTCCCACTCCCAATGCAGCATTAATTGATGATGTTAACACAAGTACCGTTATGTGTACTCGAGTACATCCCAGGCGCTGCGCGGTGTGTGCAAGTGCCGTAGCATCTGTAGGAAGTGGAGCGGAAGTTTAGTTCACGTCACAACAGAAGGTATGATAGAAGAAAGAAAGGAAGGAAGGAAAGAAACAGCTTACGGGTACTGACACCTGTTGGACAAAGCACACATCTGCTCGAGTACCGTACTTGTAGATTCTGTCGTCGTCGGATGGATTTGGGAAGACGCCGGGTGTCTGGCCGGGTTCGGCTATTCCCGAACCGAAGTGCCGATCAGTCTAAGCCCCTCGCCCGAATAGGATTGTGGAAGCCTTTGTCCTTCCTCCCTTTCATTCATCCATCAGGTGGAGCTACCGGCAGCCAGCGACGGGATGTGGGAGGGAGGGGGAAGGAGTTGCTTGTGGGAGCAGTTGGAAAAGGGAGGTAGGTACGGGTACTCGAGTACGAGTACAGGCAGGAGGGAAGCGCAGGCTCAAGCATGGGAGACAATGGTGCATTCCACCAGTGTGAGCACTCGAGCGCTGTACGAGTACCGTACTCGAGCACAGCACAAGCATGATACCGGTACTCGTACTTTATTTGCCACCGACTCCCCGACTCTTTGAGGTTGCGGACTTCGTATCGTGCCCCATCCCACCCCACCCACCCACCCCACAGTACTAGACGGACGCCACTGCTACTATCATACATACTTCACTTCTGAATCTCTGCTATATATCGAAAATACAGACACACACACACACATTCGTAGACCAAAAAGCATGGATCCTCAGCAGCAGGAAACCCCAACAGCAGTCAGCGACAATTCTCTACAAGATGTAGGCTACTCGAACCCTTCCTATCCTTTTGCCAAACTCACCCCTCCCTCCACCCAGCATCAAAGTCCCACATCTACGAAGCAGCTAATCTGGACCCATAGGAACTCTCCACCCTCCGAATTTTCCGTGCAACGCTCGAGTCTGTCAAACAGGTCGTCGACGGAATCCATCGCGATACGGTGACTGCGAAGGAGAATTGTAGTGCTGTCGTGGGTACGTAATTCTCGTCTTCCCTCCGATATTCTTTCCCGCCTGACAATGTCGTGGGGGGGGGGAGAGGGGTTGAAACATAGACTAACGGAATCCCCCCGTCGCCCCCCCTCCTCCTCCTTCACACCCTTCGCTCCGCTGCTATCTGTATGCTGGGAGCGGAGGTGTCGAGGTGGTGGATTGGGGTATGTTTGGGGGAGTAATATTATATAGACTTGACGAAGCGTTGGGAGGGGGTTATCCTGGACACATCGTCTTCAGCTCTTGCCGTAGCTGAGGCAGCGCCGAGGGGGACAGCGGGTGTATCATCATAGCGTGGCGATAGGGACCGGGGGGAGATGTGCCAGATGTCTAAACCACTGTACTGTAGACTTTGCATGTACATTATTCCGCACATCATCAAATGTAGCGTGAACCCCCGTAACTATCCCAAGCACATAGTGCCGGTAGCCTTTTGTGCGTTATGGACTCCCGGAGAAGAAGACAACCACCCCCACAGCACGGTACGAGACCCCGAGGAGACGGCCACAAAATAAAATAAAACGTAATAATATGATACGACTACCGGTGCTCGTACTTGTACCCTCCCATCCCACCACCAAACAACCCTCGCACTACCCTACTTGTAAAGTCTTGTGAAAATCCACTACTCGTACCGTATCTCCGCTCCGACAAAGCGCTAAGCCTGGGAAGGAATAGCGGCTACTAAATACGGTATCGTGAGATCTGCCAAACCTCGCTAATTTCACGAGATTATGGGTACGGTACGGTACCGTACTCGTACGTACGAGTACAAAACGATCCGGCCTTTTACTAAGCTACTGTACTGTACTGTACCCAGTTACCGAATTTACCGGTATTATATAACTCCGCACAGATAGAGAGCAAAAAACTAAGAACACACTCCTGTACTTAACCATAATGATACATACGGTACATGTTTTCACGGACATGACCAATCGCATATCATATTATAATAGTTTTTGTCTCTTGAACTACTGTAGTTTATTAGCATGGTTGGTTTTGTGGTGTAGTACTTGCCGATTTCAAAAGTATCCGGACGCATTGGCGCCAGGACTGAGAGTGCAATGATCTTGACATGGGTGTGGACCTTTTAGTGTGGAAACGAACTTTACCAGCTACTCGTGCCAAGGTTGTGGCACAGCCACAACCCACGGTGGCTCGCTGGCTCGCAACCGTGGGCACTCTCTTGAGAGTGCCTGTGTCACGAACGTGGCTTGGCATGAAAGAAGCTTTCACGTGACACATGGTTATGAGTCACAGGTATGTTATTGTTTTACACATATGACTCATTCGGGTCATATGATTTGTTATGTGTGGGATTTGTGATGCTTTCGTACATGGCTCAAATATGAGTCATGGGACATGCGCCTGGCGAGTATGCCTTGCGAGTGTGCCTTGCGGGCAAGCCTTGCGCATATGATTTATGTTTCACATATGACCTCGTTATGAGGTCATGGGTTTTGCACATATGACTCAGTCGAGTTATATGACTTGTTTATTGCGTTATGATTGGTTTATGAGTTTTTGTACATGACCTCGCTATGAGGTCACGGGTTTTGAGTACGGGATTATTTTGGTTACATGATTAGTTTGTTATGATTTGGTTTCGCACATGTGACCACTTTAGGTCACATGACTATGGGTGGGAAGAATACTATATAAGGAGGCCGATGTGGCTGAGGAAGATAGGTTCTTTATGCTTTATTCTAAGTACTTTTCCTACTTATTACTTTAATGAATATAAAACACCTTTACGATCTTTATCTTTATTGCAACGTTATCGTTACACCAAGGAAGGTTCTTCACGAAGACAAGTTAGAGAAAGCTTATGATAGGTGTTCCTGATAGAAGACAAAGGTCTTGTACTATCGGTACCGTAGGCAGAGACCCAGAACTATCGTAAGACAAAGGAAGAAGGAGACAAAAATGAGAAGTATCGTTCCCCATCACCAAGAACTAACTATCCAAAGAGGGATCGTTAGACCTGGAGGATACCAGAAACTATGGGCTAGTTCATGATATTCATACATTACCCATATTACAAGCTGAAGTTTCTGCTTGGAGTAACGTACTCTTCATTTACTAACCTATCTTGCTTACTTCTAAACCCTCCTGTACTATGTAGCTCTCCTGCAATTAAGCTCTTTTAATTTTGTAAGACCCTGGAAGGGGAAGGCGACTGGAGTAGGAGTGTGTTCCAAGTACTACTAGTAGGTAGAATCAAGTAGTGGATAAGCATACTAGTATTGATATGGGAAATAATCAACCAAAAGATAACTAATTATTAGCCAGTTTTTATTAGAAAGAATATCCGGTGGGATTAGCGCAATCGGTCCGCGGTGACTACCGGTCCCACGG